TTTAAATTAAGGGAAAAGGGGGAGGGGGACTCCATGCAGCCCTAAACTTCCAATAGGGGGTACATCTTCTTTGTACAATATATAAAATCAGGGGTTTACTAAAAAGTGTTAAAGTGATGAGGTCGCCTATTGAAGCATGACCTCATAAGGAAGACAAAGGAGACATTAGATAATTTATTAACAAATAATTATTCCATTATGTTAAAGGATTGGTGAAAAGTCCGAGCAAAATGAAGAGGTAGGGGGTGGTAGGGGGCAAGATCTTCATCCTCCCCTAGCTTGTTTATAGTGATCAGCTGGACCGTCAGCGTCGTTTACTCTGAGTCGCTTACTATTAGTAAGGAGATCAGAGGTAAGGCACTGTGTTATATAGATACTATAACCTTACATGGAATAATAAAAATCATAGGGGAGACCACATGTCACCCAACATAATCCATAAATGTTAAACTCTTAAACATGTATATAATATATCTTATAATATTGCAGTTAATGTTGCTGAGCCCCCCCCCCCCTCTGTCTTTTCTAATACACTTGAGATGGTTATTCCTTTGACAAAAATAAATTTTCTAGGTTTTTTTTACACTGTATCAAGGCTTCACAGTATGACGATTTATTCTATTTTCACTTTACGTATGCAACGCACTACATTTTGTAGCGGAGTAAACAGGCCCGATAGTCGTGAACTGAGCAGGGGACCTAAGGTCCTAGTTGAGCGTACGTTTTATCCTTCTGCACACAAATTACTCTTAGCTGCAGGTCTGTAGCGTAATGGTTTTATATATTTGTCTTTGACCATTTGCCAAAGACAAAATACAAAACCATAACGCTACAGACCTGCAAATAAAATTACTCTGTGATCGCATGTTGTAGGCGACGTTTTGTTTCCAAAAAATGCTTGAAAATCACAGCAGAATAAAATCAGCCGTTTTGATAAGAACGGATTTTGATGAAATTGTATTCTGTAAAAGTTGATAAACATTAAAAAAAAAATAATCATAGCAAAAAAACTTTTCAGTCGGTGCGTTTTAATTGGGACGGTCGCATTAAAGTAGAATATGTATTTTTTTTACTGAAAAAGAATTCAGTCAAACTATTGAGATTATCTATTCATTCTCCCGTCTCTTTGAATTTTTTATATGGATGATTAAGAGAATATGATAACAGTAGTTATTTGCTTTGATGTAATTCTTGACAATTCTGATACATAGATCCATTTTGCAAAGTTGTATTTCATGGTGTTACACTCCCTAATGACTGATATGGGAGAAAAGGGATTAAGAATTCCATTCTAACTCATAACATACTATAACAATACGGTCTTGTTTCATTAAATTAGCGTTTAATTACGCTAAATGCTGAATGACTTTTGTCTTACTAACTTGTTAGGAAATTATACATGCTAGTTTATATATATATATATATATATATATATATATATATATATATATATATATATATATATATATCGTGTAGGTTGGTTCCTAAGGTCGAAGTTCATACATTGGTTTCCTGTGTCTCTTGTCCTGTTGTACTTTGTATCCATGTAAAAGTGAATTTCTTTGTGCGTCTTCTATATTAAGATATTTCTTCAAAAGAACACCATATATTCAGTTTATTTCCTAAGTTTAAAACAATACTTTCTATCTTATTTGACAAAAGGATGGAATTTGCAAGGGTAGAACAACTAAAATGTTTATAAGAATGAAAGAGAAACTTTGATAGTATTGTACAACAACGTATTCGGAAAGTAATGTAGATTAGATGTACTCAAGAACGATTAAGAAATTTTTAGATATAATTTTGTATAAGAGTGAAGCAGAATCAAAAATCTTCTACATGAATAGAAGTTACTTGACCTTCGGTTTAGCATATCTTGATATATCGCCGTCGTTTTATCCATTATCAATGCTCATTTTTCATTCCTACGTTGATTTGATATATCCCTTTTGAACTAAATTCGAGATATATCACAGGATCTGACAGATTTAAATAATATTTGGATATTTTACATATATCTTAATGATTTTATGACTTCAACTTTTCTATTGCAAACTTTTCTCTCCCAACCTGCAAATGGTGTTTTTTCCTTCGAGTTACTTCGATACGATCGAGGCATAAGGTAAATAAATAAACATTCCATAAGATTCATTCAAATAAATATTTTGAAAATTAAGTTAAAATGCGATTGTCAGCAAGTCGAATGTTAATTGAAGCTCTTCACATAGATTGAAAGACTATTTACAATGAAAGCTCTAGGGGTCTTTCTGGGGTTTTTTTTACGATCATGACAAGGTGCACATATCGGGGGTGACCGGTCCCCAACTATGTTTGTTGAAGATACTACTACCTCTGATCTCTCGAAGTTCAAGGGAACACAAGAGAAGTTCGAGCTTTCTTTTTCGAGAGATAGGAAGTCAAAGCATAATTTCGGAATTTTCAGTTCCTTCATCAATGTTCTACTATTATAGATACTGGAAGTATAAGTAAATAAAGTCACTGCACGTTTTTAATTGTATTTTACAGGTAATTTACTTGAAATCAAACACAATGATCGTATTTTGAATAAATAAAACGATTTCCTAAAGATTTGCATATTTATTTGTTCTTATTTCATGATTACATGAAACCTAAATACCAATTGTCGATTTGGCTATTCACACGGCTATATGCCAAATCGGTGTTCACCAGATTTCTCGCAATCAGTATTCAATCGTTTGACATACTTGGATTATGTAGAGTACTGTAATAAAGTTCGGAATTTATTGACATGTACGTTTTAATATTTTCTAAAAATTATCATCCTGGTTTCAACAAAATAAGTTGCGAAGCAATTCGTTTATAATAGTTTTTAATTTTAATCAATTAATTATACCTACACACGGACGACCCTCTGATGTAGTGCCATCTATGTTAACACCCAATTAACACCTCCATGCCACCCCCAGGCATTCACTGTTATCCAGGTAAGTACAAGCTGCATTAATTTCACGCTTCATTGGCGTGCATGCACGCACAATCTTAACTTTGAGAGATAGATGCTAAAAAACAATGAAATCTGTGTAACGGGACCCAGGCCTTGGTTCGAGAGATAGAAGTTCGAGAGATCAGGAGTAAAATTGGCTAGTTATATAGAGCAAAAAAAGGGGACCAGAGGTTCACTTCGTGAGATAGAGAACTTCGAGAGATCTGAGTTCGAGCCATCGAGAGTCACCTGTATGTATTTTGATTATGTTGAAAGGACATTTAATAACTGAGACAGTTGTACAAATAATCAGTTTACTGGAGATGGTGTAATGTGAATGCTGTATCCCAAATATTTTTTTACAGTTAGAAAATGAGGTGAAAGCTTTAAAACAAAATGTCAGTCAGGATAAAGAGTCCCTTATCAAAGAGCAGCAAGAAAAGTAAGTTAAATCCCATAATGTCTTTCACTCAGTTCTATTTTCCCTTCTATTTCTTTGCCAAGTGTAAGGTGCACCAGCAACTTTTTAACATCAAAACTGTCAATTTATACCATTAATAATTGAAAGCTCTATATGTATGTGTCTGTATACACCTTCCCTTACTTCTTCACCCCTTTTCCTGATATTTTCACACTTCATACTCTCTAACCCTGCAGAGAAACAGAAATTTTTGGAATGTTCAGGAAGTAAGAAAATCTATTAACAAAAATTTTTAAATAACTGTCTAAAAGTCTTCTTTGATCCTAATGTTCAACTAACATTGTTATTTACCCGTAATTGTGTGAAGTGATAACAATTTGTTTTTTTACCATAATGGCTATATTTTGCATTTCATTATTAAATGCTTAAAATTGTGTTCCAAATGCTTTTAATACATGTAATAATTTAAAGTTCAATTTAGAAGATTTGAATCATTTAAGTGACAAACAAAATAACTATTTCAATTTTAACTGAAAAAAATGAACCCTTTCATGTGATGACTAATGATTTAGTGACTAGTTCTAACTCTTGTGTGTTGTGATGAAATTTCTTGCAGAATAACAAGTATGTCTGGTGAGCATGAAAAACAGATGCTAGCTCTCCAAGAACGAGCTAATAACTCACGTAAACAAGTCAATCATCTCCAGCAACAGCTAGCCATGTTTGAGTAAGTCTTTCCACTCAAAGAAAGTCTGTAATCCAAATGTATTCCATTTACAAACACCCATTATTATCATAAAATTATGGTTAAATTAAATTAATTGTAGGAAGAGGGGTAAGATTTGTCATTTTTCTCTGAAGTCGCTGACATGTTTAAAAACTTACATTTTTACTCTAACAGTTAACATGTTGCATGATAACTCATCAATCTATGTCAGTTTGCTGATGAGAATTAAAACATTTTATTTGTGAAATAATCTTTTGTTCTTATTAGATAAGGCAGCTCTAGGATGTCTTATCATTTGTATATTGCTTTGTTTGTAGGGGTCAGCAGGAACAGCAGATGAAGCTGAAGGATGTCACCATCATGGAGCTGGAGAGTAAAATCCGCCATCTGAAGGAAGAGCAGCAAGAGGATAGGGTCAAGTGGCATGAAAAGGTCAAAGTTCACTATCAATTTAAATTTTTAAAACGGTTTATAAACATTCTTTCAAAATTTGTAAATGGTAAACAAAATTACGTTGACAAGAAAATTGATATGAAGACCCCTTTAGGTGTAGTATGAGTTGGTCTCAATAAGATTTTGTTTTATACAGAGAGAAGTGTATGAGAGATCCCAGGAGAGTTACCAGACAGAGATGTGTAAGCTGAGGTCTGATCGGGACGAGGCTCTGAAAGAGTCCGCTACACAACACAGTAAACTGGAGGAGACACAGGTTTGAAAATTCTTGTCTACAAACTTCTGAGAACACAGCAAAAAAACTTAGGTTACAAGTAGTTTTCTCAAGTTTAAATCAATATTGGACTGAGTTAACATCTTAAACATGATGACTAGCTGACAGTACTGCAGGTTTATATTGGTTTGCTTGGTCATGTGAAATGTATATACACATTGGGAAAAAGTTTTTTTCTTTTACCTGGTAGATACACATTGTGTCTTCTATTTTTCAGAATGCTTTGGTTCGGTGTCAGACAGAGTTAGACCTTGAGAAACAGAAGACCGTCCACATCTGGGAGAAAGAGACGGCCATGCAGAGCAAACAGAAGGAGCTAGAGGCCAAAGTGGAGGAGAAACAAAAGGACATAGAGAGGCTGGAGAAAATGCTGGAACTCATTAAAACTGAGTGTAACGCCCAAGTCAGTGAAAAGGTATGCAAGAATCTCCAGATTTGATCCAAATAAAAGGTTCATAGACAGATTTTTTTTACTGTACTTTCTCAATGCAAATGCACCCTTTGTTTCCATTTTCCAAGACCTTCTCTTCAGTTTCTATCATATGGTATTTTGCACAGTTTCAAATTTAGAAATGAGAAAGTTTAATTTTTTTTAAAGATTTTTTTTCACATGCATTGCGATGTGTGTTTGCTTATACCTTATTGGTCTTACACTCGTTTTGTTAAATTTGGCGGGAATTGGAGACCATTCCTTTGACAGAAAAAGCCTTGAATGTATATGGGACCGCATGGCAACATATTATTATACTGTGGTATTTTCAGTCCTTTTAGTCTGGATTCCAGTTACCGTGACGGGAATATTTTACTTGAAGATTTTCTTAACTGTTCGGAAGAGTACGAAAAAAATTACACAGGTCACGTGTGCAGATCACAACCAGAAATCAGTCAACCTTGCACGAACATTGTTTTTTATTTACGTTATTTTTTCTCTGTGTTGGATTCCATACGCTTTGATTATAGTGATAGACAGAAATGACACATTTCCTTATGAGCCACACCTGATTCTCACTGTTTTTGGTCATTTACATCCTTCAATCAACTGGTTGGTTTACTATTTCACCAACACAAAATTTCGTAAGGCTTTTGACAGACTTGTAAAGCTGAACAAATTTTTCGACTTATGCAAGAAGAAGAAGGAAATACCGATTGAAATGTCGAAGACACCAACACACTCAAACGATATTTTGACAACCAAAACACAAAATTTTCATTCGTCTTCAGGAACTGAATAATACGACAATATTTTACTACGACTGTGCGAAATTTATCTGTGATCAACGCTGAGGACAATTCCCTTGAGGACATTCATAATTTTCAATTGTGTAAATAAGTGCTTATGTAAAGTTTAAGGAATAAAAGTGAATTGTATTTTTGAAATTAAAAAAAAAGTAATTCTGTCGTTTTATTTAATACTCGAAATATCTAATTCACTGAACAAAAAATCCATAACTTGGTTTCTTTATTTAATTATTTTAAAAATAAATCATTTTTTCGCACAATAAATTTTTTTATTGAAGTGCTTAACAGAAAGCACAGAAACATACATAGCAATGGCTAAAAATAAAACGCTGTCCAGTTATAAAAATATCATTAAATGTTGCAATGCCT